TTTTTTTTGAAACTTAGAGCTAAAACATTTACAGATCGTACGATACGTAGGTACAGATAATACGCGACCTGCTTCACCTATCTGAAGCCACGTGTAGATAGTCTCCATGGGGTGCTCACAGTTCAATTTACAGGCCAGCATAATAAATATAGGTACAGAATAATTATACAACAAATATATATACACATATGCATGTATATAACAGACGGGAGAATTGGGTGGACCGATGCCGCAGTGCCGCTCTAAGCATCCTTGGCCTTGGCATCCAGGGCATCCTGGACAAAGGCGTGATTCTCGATGCCATTCTGCCGCGTCGCTGCTGGGATCGGTGCTGCCGCCGTTGCTGCCGTGGGATTAGCCTCTGCATGCTCCAGGGACTCGTGTATCACATTGGCAATGATGCCATTCAACTGGCCCTTGGCCTCGCTGGCCAGCGCCAGCGCCTCGATCGCATTGATATTGCCATTGGCTTCCTTCACGGAGCCGTGCTCCGTGTCCGTGGCATTACCTTTGCGACGTTGCCGCACCTGGAAACGATACATCCAGCTGAGCGAGAAGAGATAGAGAGATGATAGATAAGAGATGAACAGCAGCTGCAAAAAATGGGGAATACTCACAGAAAGATGCCCACGGAGAACATGGTCAGACCGCCGCCGAGCAGAAAGAAGGCGCCCGGCAGCACCCGAAGCGTGGCAGCGTACAGCGTCGTATACATGGGCGCAAAGACCATGGGCATGAGGGCCTCGGCAACGCCAAACAGTGAATTCACCTTGCCCAGCTCATCCTTGGACACCAGCTTGGTGGCTATCGAGCGCATGGCTATGAAGGCCGTTCCATTGAAGATCTCCACCAGGCCGCCCAAATACATGTGCCAGGGCAGGGTGGCGAAGGCGTAGACGAACGACGACAGAATCTTGGAGGTGCTAGAGAGCACGCCAACCAGTGCATCATCGATCTCCAGCTTGTGCGAGAGTACGCCCACGCAGAAGATGACGCCGATGAGGCCCGTGAACATGGCATAGGTCGAGAAGAAACTGAACTCCACCTCGGACCAGTTGAAGCGAAAGCGGGTAAACAGATATGTGACCGCCATCTCGCCATGCAGTGGACCAATGATCACCATCACCACGATCATCAGGAGGATGACGCGCTGGCGCCGCTGGTTTTCGCCCTTTTTGAAGGCCACGCGGAACGTCTGCACCACGTGCTCCTTGTCAAAGAAGTCCGCCAGCAGACTCTTCTGTTGCGCCGACTTCTCCGGCCGCGCCACCGGCTCCTCCAGGAAGAACAAGCCATAGACAAAGGCCAGCACATAGAAGGCCGCCGAAATGGAAAACACGCCATAGAAGCCAATTTGCCTGGATATTAAATTATTATTGAGATAATAATTAGCCAGTGCTGTGGAGTGAATCTGCCGGTCTGCAGGTCGAGCACTTACTTGAGCAGCACACCACTGAAGGCCATGCCAATGGGCACGCCCACCGAGAAGCAGACGTTGAGGATGCCAATGCGTAGGGTACGCTCCTCCTCGGTGGTTATGTCCGCAATGTAGCTGAAGACGCCCATCAGCATGGTGAACCAGCCGCCGCTGAGCGATGGAAAGATGGCCTCGGTGAGTGCGGCTGCCTCCATGGGTGCGTTCTCGAAGTAGACACAGAGCATGAGGCCGACAACGCCGAGAAATTCGCCCACGACCGGTATGAGGATGCAGGGCTTGCGACGGCGATGGCGATCGCTCCAGGAGCCCCAGAACAGGATCAGCAGGCAGGGGAAGATCGACTGAATCACCGTCTTCCATGCGGCCATGCGGGCGACCATCTGTTGCACCGTCTCCTCCTCGCTGGCAATGGGAAAGTTATCATATAAAATTATCCAATATTAACAAATTAAAATCTGATTGATGAGAGATCAGCAGTCACACTC